TTTTTTAAAGCCTGAAAATTTAAATATTTAGTTTATGATAACATAAAGTGTCTTAGTCTGTTCTGGCTGCTATAACAAAATACCTTAGACTGGATAATTTATTAATTAAAGAAATGTATTCCTCTGGAGGCTGAGAAGTCCAAGATCAAAAGGCCAGAAATTTGGTGCTAGGCAAGGGCCAATTCCTCCTAGATGTTGCCTTCTACGTGTTCTCACACAACAGAAGGGCAAAGAGGGTCCCTCTTGTACACAGGCACTAATTCCATCCCTGAGGGTAGAACCCTCATGATCTAATCACCTCACGAAAACCCCACCTCCTAACACCATCACCTCGGAAGTCAGGTTCCAACATATGAATTTTGGGGAGAACACAAACATTCAGACAATGGCATATACATAGAATAGAATCACTATGGATCTCTTATAAATCATGTTTTGGTATAAATGTAATAATAGAATGAGTTCATGAAATAATGTAAGTGGAAAAGTAAGATATATAACTATAGGTAAAGTATGATCACCCTATTTTATATACTGTATACAATGTATAATATATAAAATATACATGTACATAAAATATTTCCTGATGTATATGTGTGTATATGTATTTTTCCAGGTATATAATTGATAAACATTAGCAAAAAATGAGAAAATATGACAAATATTTAACAGTGGCTATCTTTCCAGTGGCAGGGTTACAGATAACTTTTATTTTCATACATTTCTGACTTTTCCAAATGTGCTATTATGAGCACAAATTTTATAATTAAATACAAGTCAATAAGCATTTTAATATGCCTGTAACAGCCCATCAACAAATAAAGATGAAGTAAACATGTGTCTGCACTTGGTACACATACTGACTTTCTTTTACTTCCATTTCCACATAATATTGACAAACATATTGCGAGAATTTGATTGATATGTGTCAGCTCAGATTTGCTATGCAAGAACAAAGTCTTATTTTTTAAAGGAATCATTTGCTGATCAGCTATAGGCCGACTTGACCCCATATTCCTACCATGATATTCCCACAATGGAGGGATGGGGAGTGGTGTGACTCGCAAAACTTGGATTATGTTATTTTCTCTGGACGATGAGAATTTGGACAAATGATGCCCAAGAAAGAATTATTATCTCACCAAAGAGATCCCTCAGCAGTGTCTGTGGGCTGTGCAGTGTTCTCAGTTCAATAAAGGATTAGAACACAATCCTTCTTTGGAGGACTGTGACTCGATAGTGCATCAATATCTTTCTGAGAAATATTTTTCATTTTATTCCCTCTTTAACGTCTTAAGCCTTAGGAGAATTAGTTGAAAAGCCAGGTCTTTGGGGTAGATACTAATATTAAGTCTTCTATTCTGTCGTTTGTAATCATAAATTCCAGAACACTGCTCCTACTTTCATTGTGTATTGTTTTCTAAGAGAATGATAGACAGATTATTTTTTAAACCCCTAAGCTTACCACCCTTGTGGACTTCCTGACTGGTCACTAAGAAAGTCCTGCCAATCTGGGCAGATCACCTGAGGTTGGGAGTTCGAGACCAGCCTTACCAACATGGAGAAATCCCGTCTCTACCAAAAATACAAAAAATTAGCCAGGCATGTGGTGTATGCCTGTAATCCCAGCTACTCAGGAGGCTGAGCAGGATAATCACTTTAACCTGGGAGGCAGAGGTTGTGGTGACCTCAGATCGTGCCATTGCTCTCCAGCCTGGGCAACAAGAGCGAAACCTCGTCTCAAAAAGAAAAAGAAAAAGAAAGTCCTGCCAGTCAACGCATAGGTGTGTGTTGATTGCTCAGCGCTTCTCCAATCAGACTCATTCCTCTAGCGTTCCTGCACACATGCGCACACACATCACTCTAAAATGCGACTGCTAATGGTTCACCTTCCTCACTTTTATCTGCAAATCTCAATCCTGTTGATTCCACAAATCCTAAATCAAGCAATATCATTTTATGAGTCTTTCCACCACCACTCCTTCAGGGGATCCTTCAGGGGATCCTTCAGTTTCCATCACACCTGAAGTCTTCAGAGTATCACCCTCAGATAAAGACAAGAAACATCCCTGGCTAGGGTTTCAGGCTTTAGAAGCCCAGATTTGACTCCTTTTGGCCATAAGACTAATGCGATATGCCCACCTGGAACCTGTGCCCTCCCTTCTAGACCATGCCCTGGGACTCAGATCCCTTGCCCCAGATGGCCACACAATCACTTTCAGGACCATCCTCTCTGGGCAGACAATATCACAAGTGTGTGCACCTCAAGGCCCAAGGCCAAGAAGGCAGCTTTCTGGATATATAGGCTGAGTGTTCGCACACTTTTGCATGGCCCCTTAAGACACAGGATAAGGGGGAAAGTGGGAAGAAAAGATGTAGCCAGTGATTAGGGCCAGCTCTCCCAATTCAGCTATGTTGGGTCATTCTGACTACACCATTTGGCGCAAGTGTAACCCTCAAGACACTTAGCACAACCTCCAGCTAAATTTACCAGTGTTCATGGACCACAAATATATTTCACTATGAATTAACGCATAAAATGAGCAGAAAGGGAGTTAATAAGATTAACAATAGAGTTAGTGAGCATTATGAGCTGAGTTTTAGAGAAAGATAATTTCTTTCAACCCTAATAACAACCTTGTGGGGGTTCATTATCTCCCTTTAAAAATTAGGAAACCAAGGTTTTGCCATGGTCTCACAGGAGGATCAGAATAGCATCTCCAAGACCCCAGAGCATACTACTCTTCACTTCAGCTACCCGTGTGTCCAAATCAGACACCTCCTGGGATGTCCATGTCAACCATTTCTTAAAGAGTAACCAACAGATGGATAGTTTCCTGTTTGTGAATCAATGGTAGGTGACTGAAAAATTGGTTCTGAGAGTTCGTTTTGCAAAGATTGATGGTCAAAGGCTGAGAAGCAGCTTTGAAAGACCTACCTGCTAGCAGCATGAAGAGCTGCTCTTCCCTATCTTGGCATCAACTAGTTAATTGTTAGAGGTGGGTGCAGGGGTGGATTATGTGTGTTCTTAACTGTTGGAAAATGGGGACTGGGAGTTACAAAGACCTTTGTAATTTTGACCTTGCAGAGCTGAGCAACTTTCAGTTGTTGTTTTTTTTTAAGACAGAGTCTCGCTCTGTTGCCAGGAGCCAGACTGGAGTACACTGGCTCGATCTCGGCTCACAGCAACCTCTGCCTCCCGGGTTCAAGCAATTCTCCTGCCTCGCAGCCTCCTGAGTAGCTGGGACTACACATACGTGCCACCACGCCCAGCTGTTTTTTATATTTTAATAGAGACGGGGTTTCACTATGTTGGCCAGGATGGTCTCGATCTCTTGACCTCATGATCCGCCCACCTCAGCCTCCCAAAATACCGGGATTACAGGCATGAGCCACTGTGCCCAGCCCTCAGTTGCTTTTCTTGCTGATAACACTACTTCCCTTATCTACCGTGGAACACATCTTAATGAAGTATTTGCATTCATGGCACCAGGTTAATGAATATGAAACTAAATAGTGTATATCCTTCTGATGGATGGGATTTCTGAAGCACAGACATTATATATACATATTTGATGATGAAGTACTAGAAGTGCAGGGAATTGAGGTCGAGCTTCCTCCTAAGGGGATTGAATCTCAGAGAGAGCAGGTGACTTAGTAATCAGAGGGGGAGCTGTCTGCTCAACCAGGCTGCTCCTCCTATGGCACAAAATTCAGTTTCAAAAAATATTAAATTCAGCTGGGCGTGGTGGTTCACAACTGTAATCCCAGAACTTTGGGAGGCTGAGGCAGAGATTGCAGTGAGCTGAGATCACACCACTGCACAACAGTCTGGGCAACAGAGCAAGACTCCACCTCAAAAAATAATAAATTCAAATCAAATGTGTTAGGTGTGAGTTCTATCCTATAGGTGTGAGGCAGCAGTGGAGGATTTTGTATACAATAGAGAAAGAAACATAAATATTAGGTCTTCAATAACATAGGACTCCCTGACCCTCTCATGGGCATTCCTCTGAAGCATTTTGAGATTTATTGCTATAAAAGAGTCTCCCAAACATTATCTTACCTGGAAATGTTAATCATTTTAATACAATTTTGTTCACAGGAGGGAATTCAAGTGTACACCACTGCTTAAAGTTATCTCTTTGTTCCTAAGTTTAAGGAGACCTAGTAAATAAGAACATTCAACTTTGTCTGAATCAATAAAGATGAAAGGAGATGACTTCGGTGGTGGGAATCAGAGTGAGAAAAATTTTTATATGTTTCCAATATCCTGAAACATAAATAACTTTTTGTTCAGTCATAAGGTAAACAAAGTATGGAATTTACAGGGAAAAGGTAGTAAGAATGGTGGTGCCAGCTTTTCATATTCCAGCTAGTAATGAATTAAAGAGAAGAAACATTCCTGAAAGGATATCATTTTCTCAAGAAAATTGGAAAAGAATGTGTGGCATTTAAAAAATACTAAACTCTGTGGCCATAATTCTCTTAAAATTCATTTTTCTAAAGAAATTAGAAGTGGATCATATTAAATAAGGCTAAGATACGTTTACTTTATCTTCCTGAAAATATAATTTCATTACAATCAGATTTATCAAATTTATCTGATTTTACTTGCTATTTAAAATACTTTATAATGTACTTGCATATTTGGAATAACAATATTCTTAATATGCTTCTTGATTTTTAACAAAGCCTAGGCCAAATGTTAATCAAATCAAGCTGTTCAAAGTTACTTTGTAGCACATTTCTTTTGAACACACCATCCACAAAGCAATATCTACCAAGGGTGTTAATTTTTCTTTATTTTTAAAATCAGACCATTTAAAGAAGTTATTTACTACAAATGACTCTACACATTCGCGCGCGCGCGCACACACACACACACACACACAATCTTTTTAAAGAAATGTTAGAACCCAACCCCCTCTAGGAAGGAGGAAAACATTACAGCTGTAGAAGCACTTATGCCTGTTGCCTTAGAGTAATACGGTAGCAGCAGGAGATTACGGTACTAGCTGGGCTACTGCCTGTGTTACGTCAGCGAGAGCTGCAAAGTTCCTTGCCATTCTTTTCTGGTGTTGGGGAGCTGAATATTAACAGGGTGATTGTAGAGTTATCGCTTATCTGTATTTTTTTTTTCTTTTCCTATTTTGACTCTTTTTTTAAAAAATGCAGGTAAAGTGACAGAGGACCAGGAGCTTACAGACATTGGTGGTGGAGGGGTGAGTCAGCGGGTGCAAAAGAACGAGGATTTGGTTCCTCCGAGAGACGGGTCCCCTCTCCGCCTCCAGAGAAGAGCAGGCAGGCAGTTCCCGGGACCGAAGCCGGGTCCGCCTCCCCAGCGCGTGAGCGGGTGTTCTGCAGCGGCGCTTCAAGGTGAGTGCACGGGGCCGGCGTCCCGCAGGGCCGAGTGGGTGAGGGTAGACCTCCCCCACCGTCTGGAGAGACGAACCCCCACTTTTCCCAGAGCCTCCCGCTTTTTCCACTAGATTTTATACCGGCCCCCCACCACCTCCGATTCCCTTACACATTCTGCGAAGTTGCCTTCTACTTAACAAGTGTCCTTTTAACCCTGTGTTGATCACCGAGGTAGGAGGAAAAGGGTTTCTGCAATGGCACATTTTTAATACCACCTGTGAGATCTTGAACTTGCATTTTTAATTAATTTATTTATTTGAGACAGAGTCTCACTCTGTCGACCAAGCAGGAGTGCAGTGGCACGCTCTCGGCTCACTGCAATCTCTGCCTTCCCAGGTTCAAGCGATTCTCCTGCCTCAGCCTCCCAAGTAGCTGGGATTACAGGCGCGTGCCACCACACCCGGCTAATTTTTTGTATTTTTACTGGAGACGGGGGTTTCACCATGTTGGCCAGGCTAGTCTCGAACTCCTGACCTTGTGATCCGCCCACCTCGGCCTCCCAAAGTGGTGGGATTACAGGCGTGAGCCACCTGGCCCGGAGAACTTGGAATTTTAACAAGAGTCTTTTTGCCCTAGGTCCCGCCTCAGGGCCCAATCCCAGAAGGCAAGGTGGGCACTTTCTCACGCCCGCCGAGTGCCTGCGGTCGGTTCGCAGTTGTGGAAACCCGGGTTTCTTGTGTAGATGGTGGCCCCCAGACCAGAAAATCCAAGGCGGCCCCTACCTGCTGGCATGCCAGCTTAATGTTTAAGCCTGCAAAATCCGCAGTGACTGTCCCTTGCAAAGCTCCCTCTGCGGAGGAACGTCCTCCCCCCACATCCCCTGGCAGTCCTGCTGCGGCTGGCAGCTGGAGGCCTTCGGGGTGGCCAACGGTGAGGATTGCAAAGGCATCATGGACAGACCTGGGTCGCGTTCAGCGCTCTGGTCTCTCCCAGCTTTGCTCGGGACCTGGCTCTCAGGACTGCTTGGCTGGTGGACACACCGACGCACCCTGCACACCCGAGTGAGAATTCCACTGGCGTGAGCGTGCGCGTGGTCCTGGCCCTGCGGTCCCTGGGTCGCAGCGGTTCCCTCTCCCAGGCCGCCCCCTCCAGGTGACTGCGAGGCAACCTGTTCTAATGGACACCGAGCACATCCTCGGAATTCCCTGGCTAAATGGGTGAGACACACTCGCAGCTGCAATTGCCCCTCTGTGGCTTCTGGGATTTTCATTTCGCGGTACCGACGCACACAACCCAGCCTTTAAGCGCTGGAGCCTGGGGTTTGTAGGATTTGTTTTTGTTTGTCGCTTCGGATCCTGAACTCCGGCAGAGGTGACGCGGTTGAGCGCGCGAGGCAGGTTCCCAGTGGTGTGGGCACGAGATGCGCTCTGGAGTCACCTCCTCCGCAGCGGGGCTAAGCGGCCTGTGAACCACAGACCCAGCCCTGCGCCCGGCTGGCGTCTCGCAGCCCGTCGACCTGAGCACGGCCCCTCTCCCTGGGGCGCATAGCTCACAGCCCGCCTTTCTCTTTGCGCTCTTTCAGGTGGATGTGGTCAAACGATGCCCACGGCCGCCTGGGTCTCGGCACATATTTCATATCCACGTCCCTTGCCCCGCGCGCCTAGAAGCTGCAGCGAGCAAGAGCCCTCGATGGGGCAGCTCAAAATGTAGATAACTGCAGGCCGGGAGTGGCGCCCAGATGCCATCCCTCCCTGCCTTTGAGCGTCGACGGCTGATCCTTTGGTTTGCTGGGGAGACTGGCACTGGAGTTTTGAATTCCGAATTATGTGCAAAATGCTGAATCTTCCCCCAACCAGGACGAGTCAGACAGTGCGGAAAAGCAGACTCTCAGTCTCGTAATTCTTGGATTGCTTGTTGCACGGAGTCTTCTGTATCGTCGCACCCAGCCTCGGGTAGGGAGGAAGTCAGAGTCCCGGATCAGGCCAGACCAGCAGGTGGAAAGGGTTCCCGGCCACCCCGCGCGCCCCTGGCCATGTCGCCTTTCATGCCCTGCCCCTTCTTGTGGCCTTCTGAGGGTTCCCAGGGCTGGCCAGGGTTGCTTCCCACCCGCGCGCACGCTCCCACCCCCAGCCAAACCCAGCTGGCAGGGCTCCCTTCAGCCGAGACCTTTTGATTCCCCGCTCCCGCGCTCCCTCCTCCGCGCCCGCCCGGGGGTGGCCCTGGAGAGCCGGACCTCTCCGGGCCCCGGCTGGGACCATGGTGTTTCTCTCCGGAAATGCTTCCGACAGCTCCAACTGCACCCAACCGCAGGCACCGGTGAACATTTCCAAGGCCATTCTGCTCGGGGTGATCTTGGGAGGCCTCATTCTTTTTGGGGTGCTGGGGAACATCCTAGTGATCCTCTCAGTGGCCTGTCACCGACACCTGCACTCAGTCACTCACTACTACATCGTCAACCTGGCGGTGGCTGACCTCCTGCTCACTTCCACGGTGCTGCCCTTCTCTGCCATCTTCGAGGTCCTAGGCTATTGGGCCTTCGGCAGGGTCTTCTGCAACATCTGGGCGGCGGTGGACGTGCTGTGCTGCACCGCGTCCATCATGGGGCTCTGCATCATCTCCATTGACCGCTACATCGGCGTGAGCTACCCGCTGCGCTACCCCACCATCGTCACCCAGAGGAGGGGTCTCATGGCTCTGCTCTGCGTCTGGGCACTCTCCCTGGTCATCTCCATTGGGCCCCTGTTCGGCTGGAGGCAGCCGGCCCCCGAGGACGAGACCATCTGTCAGATCAATGAGGAGCCGGGCTACGTGCTCTTCTCAGCGCTGGGCTCCTTCTACCTGCCGCTGGCCATCATCCTGGTCATGTACTGCCGCGTCTACGTGGTGGCCAAGAGGGAGAGCCGGGGCCTCAAGTCCGGCCTCAAGACCGACAAGTCGGACTCGGAGCAAGTGACGCTCCGCATCCATCGGAAAAACGCCCCGGCAGGAGGCAGCGGGGTGCCCAGTGCCAAGACCAAGACGCACTTCTCGGTGAGGCTCCTCAAGTTCTCCCGGGAGAAGAAAGCGGCCAAAACGCTGGGCATCGTGGTGGGCTGCTTCGTCCTCTGCTGGCTGCCTTTTTTCTTAGTGATGCCCATTGGTAAGTCTTGACCACCCCTCACTTTAGCATTTGGGGGTCTTCACCCTCCTCCCGTTCTCGTACCCCAAACTCCCAGTCCGGGATGGAAGAGGAAGGATTAGCATTTCAAACAGCACAGCTCTAGGGCAATTAGACAAGTTTCCCCTGTTGAAATGTGAATTTTCATTCTCTTTCTAGTCCAGTCTCATTTATATTAGGGCCTAGAGCACTTTTTCAACTGTAAAGTGCCTTCCAACTGATGCAGATTAATTGGTCTCTTTAATAAGAATGTCAACTTTTCTTTACGCCTTTTATGCCTATAAGCACGTGTTTAATTTAAATGCATTTGCTCTCTCTATTCTCAGAGTCTCCAGCAAGTGCTTAGGCTGAGGGTGGAATGCCATTTTCACTCTGCTACAGAATGCAAATTCTCTTGGCCTGAATATAAGTACCATGCTTATTTGGGACAAATGTGTGATTTTATTATTGCATTAGGTTATTCATAAGGGTTTAATGGTCTGTTTATATGCTATATCTGTGCTAATTTTAGTTTCTGGATTCAGCATGGAAGTGATTATGGTGAGCCACTAAGGAAAAGTGATTTTATGTCTAAACCAATTTAAGCCTTAATAATTAATCTTGTTTCCAATAAGTACTTATTTTTTAATTTTAATAGTAAGTATTAAAACAAACACTTCTCTTATCCAAAATCATCCAGGAAGTTGCAGATGATACTGTTTGAAAATAATACAGTACACATGTTACAAATCCAATTTTTGCAGATGCTAAACTAGCTGTCATCAAAGTTCATTAGCTCGTTAAAAGTATCCACAGCTGATCCACTTGGAAGAGTACTCTGTCTCCTTCGATGAAATCCCAATATGGTTGTGTGCTATTTTTAGCTTGTAAGCTCAAATATAGACCCGAACATCGATTATCCACAAACTCTAAAAAAACAAAACATCATGGTAAGCATTAATAAAAGTCCATTTCAGGCCGGGCGTGGTGGCTCAAGCCTGTAATCCCAGCACTCTGGGAGGCCGAGGCGGGTGGATCACGAGGTCAACAGATCGAGACGATCCTGGTCAACATGGTGAAACCCCGTCTCTACTAAAAATTACAAAAAATTAGCTGGGCACGGTGGCGCGTGCCTGTAATCCCAGCTACTCAGGAGGCTGAGGCAGGAGAATTGCCTGAACCCAGGGGGCGGAGGTTGCAGTGAGCCGAGATCGCGCCATTGCACTCCAGCCTGGGTAACAAGAGCGAAACTCCATCTCAAAAAAAATAATAATAATTTAAAAAAATAAATAAATAAAAGTCCATTTCAAGTGCTTTACAGCCTAGTTTAAACGACATGTACTTCAAGTACTTTCATTTGCAACTCTGTGGAATGATAGCAACTATTTTTTTTTGTACCGTTTATGTTCCAGACATTCTCCCAAGTTTTTTATTTCATCAGTCTTCTCAACAACTCAGTGAGGTATGCAGAATTATCCTGCAATCACAGGTCGTGGGAAGGGATTCTTCAGGTTCTAATACCATGACCACCAGCCCTGGATAGTTATTTAAATGTGAGTTAAAATTAAATAAAATTAATACTCAGTTCCTCAATTCCTCAGTCCCACTGACCACCTCTCAAGTGCTCAATAGCCACATGTGGCCAGTGACTACTGTTTTAGACAGCAGAAATACAGGTCATTTCTATCATTGCAGAAATGTCTGTTCTGGGCTGCCAGAGGGGCCCTCCTAATCCAACACCTGGCCTTCCACTGCGCCTGCCTGTCAGTATCACTTACTCTGCTCCTGGAAATACATCACAACTTTGAAATTATAGAAATTACACTCTTTACCTGAGCCCCTTTGCACACTGATTCACACATCTACTCGCTCAACAAGTATTTGTGGACCCTTCGTTCTAGGCACTTTGGATGACAGGGCAGAAAAGTTCTTGCCAGTGAGAAGTTAGCATTTGGAAAGGATGGCCATAAGCCAGTGAATGTATCCTGAAAAATCAAAGATCAGCAAGTACTATCAAAAATTTGACAGGATGAGAAGCTAGAAAGTGACAAAGACAATGAGGGCCTGCCTTAGTGGTTAGTGAGGAAAATTCTGTCTAAAGAGGTGATATTTGAGCAGAGTCCTGACTGGACTGAAGAGCAAAGCTTGCAAGATCTAGGAAGAAGAGCTTCCTGGGCAGAGGGAACAGTGAGTACAGAGATGGAAAACAGCCTGACCTGTTCAGTGAAGATCACGGAGGCCAGTACGGCTCAACTACAGACAGGGAGGGGGCAGTGAAGTTCAAGAAGAGATTGGGGAGGTAGACAACACCAAAGTCATGTGGGGTATTTTAGGCAAAAGTAAAATTTGCATATTATTTTAATTGTGATGGAAAGCCATTCAGGGGTGTTTAGCAGGTGAGTGGCTGGTCTCATTTGTATTTTTAAAGGATCATTCTGGTTGTTGGAGGGAAAATGAGCTGTCTGGGGACAAGAGCAGAAGCAGAGACTAGTTAAAAGGCATTGAGGGGACAGAGGTAGTGACATCTTGGACTCAGGTGGGACAGGTAGAGGTGGTAAGAAGTGATCAGATTCAGCACTTATTTTAAAGGTAGAGTTGATGCGTTTGGACAATGGTGGGAGAAAAAGGGAGGTTTAGGGCCTGAACAGCTGAGTAAATAGTAATGCATTTTACTAAGAGTTACAGGGTTACCAGGAGCTGGAGGGAGTGAGAAGTAGGAGCCTTTGTTTTGTATACACTGTGTTGAGAAGCAGTCAATAGACACAGAAGTAGCCATGCTAAGTAGGGAGTTAGTACATAGATTTGGAGCTTAGAAAGAAGATAAAAAGAGGAAAGAAAGATAAGAACGGAGCCTCCGGGGAATTCTGATACTTGGGAATCAGGAAAAAGAGGAGAAACAACCAGCAAACAAGATTGCAAAGGAGTAGTCAGGGAAAAGAAAAATCAGGAAAGTGTGATGTCCTACAACGCAGGAGTAATCAACTGTGGCACACGCAGCTGAGAGGTCAGATTAGAAGAGGACTGGGAGGCAACACTGGATTTGGCAGTAAGAAGGTCTTTAGTGATAGGAGGAAGTTTTGTGAGGCTCACAGCTCCAGGGGCATGATGGAACCAAAAGCCTGATTGCATACTTTCTAGAAAGAACAAAGGATGAAAAAAGTGGGAACAGAGAAAATAGACAACTCTTGTGAAAAGTTTAGCTAGACAGTGGAGCTAGGAAATGTGGTGTAGCTGGAGGGGTGTAGAGAGTTTTCAATGGTGGGAAGTGGGGATATGATATTTGCATTCTGATGGGAATGGTGAAATAGAGAGGCACTGATGAGATAGGCAAGAGAGGAGATTGGATTCAGTGCCCAAGGGAAGCACTGGGAAGTGACAATGAAAGCAAAGTGCGTGAGCCCCGAGGTATGTAGATGGAGGGAGAGAGAGAGTGATCTCTTCAGGGTATGTTTATGTCCTCAGTGAAATATGAAGGGAGATCATCAGCTAAGAGTGAGGCGGGAATGGGAAGTGATGGCAGTTCGTGCAGCAGAGAAGGTGTGAAGGATTCATCTTTTAGAGTGGGAGAGTAAACACAGTATGGAAGTTTAGTGGAGGCACTGGGAAGTCCCAAGGCCTATTTGCGATTTATGGTCATAACACTAAAGTAGAGCACTCAGGAGGGTTGTGTGTTTCTCTCTAACAGCTAAGTAGCTGAGGGATACTGAAGGCATTGCTGAGGACTGACTAAGAGTCTCCGAGAACGTGTTTGTGAAGAAACACAGACTTGGTCACGTTAGGGAGCATCCATAGCCAGGTGGTAGAAAGAGCCAGGGTGACGATGGGTGGCCTGGGATTTTGGAGTCTGGGTGGTGACTGAGCTCTGCAGGGAGATGAGAAACAACAGCCTGGGTTCTGGAGTCATCTAGGGGAGGTGGACACTCTGTCTACTCATAGCCCACTCTTGGATCTGCTCTCCCAGGGAGTCAGCAGCCTGGAGGAGAAGATGTTGTGGTGGAGAGAAGTAGGAGCCCTCAGAATCAGTTTGCTTCCTTTAAATCCTAGTAAGGTGCCAGACATGGTGGCTCATGCCTGTAATCCCAGCACTTTGGGAGACAGAGCAGGTGGATCGCTTGGGGTCAGCAGTTTGAGACCAGTCTGGCCAACATGGTGAAACCTCATCTCTACTAAAAACACAAACATTAGCTGGGCATGGTGGTCCATGCCTGTAATCCCAGCTACTTGGTAGGCTGAGGCTGGAGAATCACTTGAATCCAGGAGACAGATGTTGCAGTGAGCAAAAAAAAAAAAAAAAAAAAAAAGGTGATACGTGATATGACAGGAGGGAAGTAGAGAACATACAGTTCACAGGGTCTGAGTAGCTGCTCAGGTGTGCAAAGCATTCCTAAGCCTGTCAATCTGTGCTCCCCGATTTCCTCCTGACACAAATTGAGTAAGAGATGATTTAGAATGTACCGCCTGTGCAATAAGCACGAGGCTCTGAGCTACACAGAATAAAAAAGACGAGTAAAGTACAGTGCCCTCAAGGGCCTCACAGTCTAGTTAAGGAGACAATTTGTCAACAATTAATGCAAGTCTGTGAGATTGGTGCTCGGAGTGATATTACATGGTGCTCAGGATGGCGCTCTGAGTGACATTATTACACAGTGCTAAGGAGTATAGCAGTGAACTGTCTGGTGGTCACTGAGAAGCTTCTACAAGCATGGCCATTGACAGAGCTGAGACTTAAAGAAGATGGCACAATTTCTGCTGGGTCATCAACTAGATGTTATGCGTTTTTTTTATTAACCGTCTTAAGTATGATTTTCATGCAAAATGTGAACAGAAGAATAAATATACTATCATATTATTATACACAAGGGACATTCTTAAATATGATGTACTGTTTTAGAAAGAAGAGCCTGTCGGTCTGCACTAGGCTGCAGGAGAGAAAAGGGATTAAAAACTAAAACCAAAGCAGGGATGAGTGTGCTAAGCACAGCTGAGAAGTGAAACACCCATGT